AAGCGTCACCTGGCTCAACTGGTTCCCGCCCGCTGCACCGCTGCGCTGCGCTGCTGCTCCTTGCACATACCTACCTACCTACCTTGCTTGTCATCACCCGCCAACGAGAACGAGCGAACCTTCGAGCCTCCACGTCCCTACCTACCCTTCCGCCCCCATCATCGCACAAACCGAACGGCCTGCGCATTTCCTCGTCGATGCTCGCGAGACTTGACTTGCGACATTTGAACGGCTACCACGGGTCATACGAGACATTTTTTTATTCCTAATTTCGACAGGCGTCTGAGCGCATCGAATACTTAAGCATCAAAACCACAACCCCACCCGGTCGTCTTCCTGCTCACCGTCTCGCCGTTCTGTCCTTCTTCAAACGAGACATCTTGCGCGCCGCAACCTACCATCAGCCTTGCGCGGCATCGACTACCCGTCCGTCGTCGTCGTCGGACTGCTTTTGACACCGGACATCTACAGCGACTGCCGCCATACACACATTCATCAAACTCTACTTCCCTATCCGTGCCAGCGCATCGCGCCCACCAGCCGTAATCATGGCGGGGCTATTTCGAAAGGTGTACGACTGGTTGTTGAGGACATTTTGGTGAGTTGCCGTGTTGTGGTCTACTTACGGCAGCGGGGTGATTCCCAGCGACGGCGGCCCGCGCGCTCTGACCCTACCCCGCTGCCGTTGCGCCCACTCTGCCCCTCAGACATGGTGATGGTTGTTTAGCTGTTTACTGATTTGCGACGGCAGGGCGACTGAGATGGACGTGACCATGATTGGTCTGCAAAACGCGGGCAAGACTTCCCTTCTCCGCGTGCTCGCGGTAAGTGGAACCGAGCTATGCAAGCCCCCGTCGTGCCGGCCGATTCTGCTCCCTTCGCATGCTAATGGTCGCAATCGTAGGGCGGCGAGTTCACGATCGAGTAAGCGACCTTTGCTCCGTCTGTCGATGCTTCAAAAGTGGCCTGCGTGTGGTCTCCGGTTTGGCAGCATCGGCTAGCGGCATCCTCGGCTAACTGAGATCTCGTGTAGCTCGATCCCGACAGTCGGATTCAATATGAAGCGGGTGCAACGAGGGCACGTTACACTGAAGTGTTGGGACATTGGCGGCCAGCCCCGTTTCCGGACGATGTGGGAGAGATACTGCCGCGGCGTCAACGCCATCGTTTTCATTGTCGATATCGCCGACATGAATGTGTTGCAGCAAGCCCGTGAGGAGCTCCATGCTCTCATGGGACAGGCGTCTTTGCGAGAAATACCGCTTCTAGTCTTGGGGAACAAGTCGGACCTCCCACAGAAGTTGTCGGTTGATGAGCTGATCGATGCTTTGGATCTCAAGTCGATAGGCCATCGCGAAGTCTGCTGCTACGGGATCAGCGCCAAGGAGGAGACCAACCTGGATGCCGTGATCCAGTGGCTCATGAAGTGGGCGAACAGATGAGCTGTCGTACTCTCGTTTGTCGGTCGTCCTGTGGGCTGTGCCTTGAACTGCTCCTTTCCCCTCATGTCTCTTCGGCTTCGAGCGAAACGGCTCGTATGCCACAGGTCCAACCGTGGTTCCAGACGTGGCTGTGAGGACTGAAACGATACATGCTTGCAGGCAGCGTGGAGTGCTGTCTTGAAAGCTTGTCTCAGTTTGCGAAATATTCGGCGTTGGTCGGTCGGTCTGCGCCAGCATCAGTAGAGCGACTTGCGCCTGCTCAGTCCCACTATATCTCATCGTATTGCACACATGGAGGGGGCGACTTTTATTTTCCCCCAAACGGTATGCTTGGGGGCGGAGCGTGGTTTTATGTTGGTGAAGAACGGCAGCCGCAACATGGCAGAGTTTTTTTGGCCGGACAGTTTGATTTGAGAGGCTCGAGAGCGCACCGACTGTACCTGGCGCTGTTTGTGGTATGGATAGAGGGGATGAGCGACGGCGAAGGTGACGATGACGATGCTACGAAAGTAGATCAATGACTATCATGACTGATGCGCGATCGCTTGATCACTTGTAGTGGGGCTGTTTCGATCATATTGTAATGAAGACGACAGGATCTGCTCGGTATAACGAAACTAATCGATCCAAAGTGACGGTGTGAAAGCCGAATAACGATATGGTACAATGCGCCGAAGTCGATGGCAGGTTCATTTGGGAGCCGAGTCTGCGACTGAAAGATGATGCTTGGTGACTTGCGGGTGTGCAGGCCGATTCGCGCACGGGAGAGAGTGTGCGTATGTGGGTTTTGTGTGTAGGGATGGAGGGGTAAGTAGACGAGACAGTCCCAACACTCGCAGCGCAGGTAGGAAGAAACGGGTGGGGTTTGCAGCGTGCAAGCAGAGAATAAGAAGGAAGCAAAAACGCAGAGAAACATCGAAGGGGGGAGACGAGGATTTTGCTTCCCTCATCTTTCCCTTTTCCCTCGTCTCTTCAGCCCTTCTCTTCCCGTCCCTTTATTTTCTCTGCCATTCCTTTCTGGAGCTACGCTGCGAGGACGGAGACACACAGACCAGAAAGTGCCAGCGCATCGCGCATCAATGCATCGGTTTCTGAAGCTTTGGGGCGCACTGATTGGTCGCCGAACCGACTCTTCCGCATCGTTGCGGGCATGGATGCTATGCCGGCGTGCGTTGTCTGTTTCTTGGGGTCTCGTCCCGCTGTAAGGTTGTTTCTCGGGCTGGGCGGGTTGTCGTTGTATGCGACCTATCGAGGAAGAGAACGCAACGCAGAAGCTATGTTGTGCGCGAGTGGTCTTTATCGGTGTTCCTCGTCCTTCTCGGGGCTTTCAGAAACGAAATGATCCAAAGCCCTCGAAGAGCCACCACGTCCATGCTTTGGCCAGTGACGGGAGGGAACAGCAGTGAATGCAGCCATGCCACAGCTGCAGCTGCCAGGTATTTCCCTGATGATTGTTGACGCGCTGCAGTGGACAGCTCCCACTTAGCCCCCCCACCTAACACATTGACCGAGGGGTCGGGGGGGAGGCATAACCAAGAACAGGAGGGAATGTGGAACTAGTCAGCAGTCCACAGACCTTTGCGCATACATCTTCTCACATGTCACTGCTTGCTTTGCCCACTCCGCTCTTCACCTCCATCATAGTGAAGACGTTGCTTAAACGCCCTGCTGCTGTCTCTACTGCTGCTACTCGGTTTCTTCAGTCTTTACCTCCCTTCTCGGAGCTTTTCCCTTCTTTGTCTCTGCTCTTCTCCCTTGCAGGATTTGATGTGCGTATTCAACTTGAATAGATGTAGTCATCGCAAGCGGGAGGCCAGAGACGAATGGTACGGGCAAAGTTTGGATTTGTCCGATGCCTAGACTAGCTACCATGAAAGTCCATATTGAATTCAAACAAGGTCTCGTTGCGCGTAGAAATTTGCTATTTTCACTTGAGCCAGGCGTAGCACCAACGGCCCGACCAACACCACTATTATACATCATCGTCTATGCCAAACTCCTTGCTGGTAATTGGATAAATATGCGTGCCTCAACCGTGACCAAAAAGGGGGGGGAAAGGCCCCCTCCGACTTGGAGAAACGTTCAGCTCGTCTGACGGAGTACTGTCAGTCGAAGCCGGAAGTTGAAAAGCGTACAGCATAGAGCGCCGAAAGCTCATGGATAGTCGACAAACCCGGCGGATGGACCGTCCCGGTTCAGCATGTACCCAAATCTACTAGGCTCGTCCAGCAACATGCTCGGCACATCCGTGTTGTTCTCGAGACGCTCAAACTGGTCGACAGCTCGCCCCCATAGGTCCTTCCCATTTCTGATAGCGTCTGCGATGCGATCCTTGTCTCGGAACCGCTCCCCGTTCATCCACTCGTGTGAGAAGGAGGCCATCTTCGTGAGAAACTCGTCAATCGTCGCGAAGCAGCTGGAACAGTGCCAACAGGCATTGCCGAGGTCTGCCTTCTCCAGGTCGTATAGCGGCTTGAAGCCCCCGTCGCCCATGCGAAGATTTGCTGGAAGAAGCGTCCGCGGGCCTTGAAAGTAAGTCGCCTGAGGATGTTCCCACTCGGGGCCTTTGTGGAGGAACTGGAAGCTGTAGTAGTAGAAGCGACTCCGCAGCGTGAGCCTGCGGGGGAACTGGCATGTTCTAAGGACGAACAGCGTCTCAGGGCGAGCGATTTCGTCGACATCAGCTACGAGAATCACGTCTCCATTCACAGGCGCCTGTCTGCCGACAAGCTTGGGAAACACTTGATCGTACATGGCGTTGCGTTGCAAATCTTCGTAGTCCCATGACCGAGTCGGGTTGAATGTCGACGGGAATTCCAACTCGTGATAGATAAGTTTGTCATGATAAGGTTTGAAACGATCCCAGTTCTCCTTGATCGTGAGACGCTTCGGCTTGCCTGTGAACGTCTTCGGAGATTCGACAATGATGAAGTAGTCCACATGGTGGTAGGTTGTGTTCAGGCGAATTTCCATCCAGTCAAGCTCTGTATTCACCATGAATAAATCATAGACTTTCCGTGGCCTGTCGTCTGACGATGGTGTAAAGACCGAATAGCCGTGGTGCTTGCAGAATTTCCGAGCAGCGTCCGATTTGTAGAAAGACTGCTGGTCGCTCGCGTTTCCGCCAAAGTCGAGTCCATTCTTGGGAAGATTCAGGGATAGATCGGTTCCCGTTATTCGATGGTCGAAACGGTCGAGAGCTGGGTGTTGGCTGGCGTACAGCAGAAGGCAGACGATCAAGAAGATGATGGTCTTCAGAGGGACGGAGGAACCGATCCTCCATTGCAGCACCATAGCTTCGGTCTTGTTGAAGGAAGGTACAGACGTCCGCGGGAAGTGTTGCTAGGAGATGACGCCGAAGGAGGGCACACGAAAAAAAAAGGTAGAGGAATGTCGGGCGTTCAAGCTGCCATTATGGGTTGGCTCAGGTACAGAGACTCGAGCGAGAGGTACCTGTGCAACGCTCATTCCAGAAAGGAGGGGTGGCTAGGGGACGTTCCTATGTTAATAGAAAGGCAGTCACGAGAGAAGAATGGAAGCTGTGGGAGCTTGGTGTACTTACCTATGAGGCAAGCAAGACAGTGCAATCCATATGTGACACTTGACGGGCAAGGCAGGCTCGGACAGGCTGGACAGGCTGGACAGGCCCGAGCACCAACGTTCCACGTAACTCTGAATGGTAAGGAGCGCTTCATACAACATTGGCCGGTGGCAGCAGCACGAGCAGGCGCGGCAGGCGACTGTGGCACTTTGGCCGGATTCCTCCTTCGCAGCCTTAAGCGTCAGCCTGCTTGCGTAGAACCTTACAAACTGGCCGTTCGCCATGATGAACAGCATTAGGAGAGGGTGTGACGGCGCCTCAAAGATACCAAGGGAACCCCTGGATTGAGCCAGATCGGCCCAAACTCACCTCACCTGTTTGGGCTGGGCAGAGTGTGGCGGGCCAGAAGGTGTTGCAAGTCCGCATGGGCGATACCTAGACACGAGGGTCCACGGACTGCCTTGCATCTTGCGCCTTGCGGCAGGGCATACTATTATCCATTGGGTGTTTCGGGGGAAGGCAGCATGCTCATCGACTGGTATGCCGTTTGCACGTCGGAGTTCCAAAGGGTGGAGAGCTGAACGTGTGTGATGACACTGGATGCAGAGCGTTTTGGAACGGAAGGGACACCGGCGGCTCGCACCATCAACTGGAGCAAATTGGAGGCTTGTCTGCAGATTAAAGAGTGGCATCCCATCAGCAGAACACATGGGGACATGCTGTTGTAGTAGCTCAACTCAAATGGAAGCTGCAGCAACAAAAAAAGCCCCTCGCCCCTTGCGGTTGGTTTGCTTGCTAATTCGGTGCCGCCAAGCCGATTGGAACGCGACCACTGCAGGGTCTTAAGACGAAGAAGCTTTTCCCAGGCTGTTTGAAAGTGGGGCTCTGCTCATTTCATGTTAATGGTTAGGTACCTTAGTGTACCTTAGGTAAGGCAGCCGTAACCATAAGCGCCTCTTAATGACTGTGCATCTATTTCGTATGACCCCCGGCTGTTGGGTGAGTAAGAACGGCGGAATTCCACGAAATGACTGGATCCAGCGGTGACATTTTGCGGTGCAAATTCCGACAGACACGAGGAAGCTAAACATCACCCAGGGTGCACGCACTGCTTGTCACTTACCTAGGTAACTGTGTGACGCAATCCATCCAGCCCATGCTGACAAAGGCCGCTGTCCCTGTTTTCTCTCAGAGGCCGCTGGTGTTGCCGCTGTCGAGTTTCGCAACATGCTCTGCCAAGCAAGTTGATTGGCCAAGGCCGGTGTCTGCCTCAGCCGCAGTGGACAGAGGTTGTTCTCGATCATTCAAGCATTGACTGAAACGTCTTCATTCCAGACCACGCCCCGTGTGTTTCTTCCGCTGCCTGCCAAACAACAAAGCTCCCCCCCGCCAGCAGTGCATCCTTGGTGTTTCCCCAAGTATCCACCACGAAACTCATGCGGCCAATCATGTACCTGACCCTGCAATGGCGCTTCTTCTCCTGATAAGATAAGGCAGGCGAGCTTCGTGGTCGTCGGAAAGCCCCCGCCGGCCTTAATTGTCAAGTCTTCAGTCAGTACCTTACCTTGGTAGAAGGCTTCAGCACATTGACCAGTGAAAACAACCGGATGCTGGTCCATACCTTACGACCTGAGGGATCTCGGTACAGCACGTGTACACTTGAGAACATTCCATTCAGGCGTCTTCAGTACCTAACTTTCGCAGACAACTGCGGAGCTGCTTGACCCGAAAGCGAGCCTCCTTATCTTCCCCGCCCATCATTGGACACGATATCCGCAGTACTGGACGCCGACGCCGGAGGGAACAAACTTACCATTCCTTGTCGTTGAAACATTCATCATTTCTCATCAACGGGCAATGTCCCGCGTATGCCTCTCACCAACCACGTCAGCCGTTAAAATGTCTTGTGAGTTCCTACAGCTGGTCAACCGGGGCATGCCCCGGCAGCGCGACAGCGAGCGCCATGTAGCCTCCACCTGGGAGCCCCCGTCTCTCGGAGCCGGTTCGGACCACTGACCGGAGTGCCCACAGACCTCCCCGGCATGGGCGCGCCCTTGCTGCGACGTTGCAACCGATTGACCCCGCAACGGGTCTCGACGGCCTACTTCAACCGCTCAACCACCCGTGCCTTCTCGTGTACGACCATCCGACCCTCATCATCAACAATGTCTCCAGCTGCCGTCACCAGTATTGCCAATGGCTCTTCCAATGGCCCCAAGCAAGCCAACGCTTGGGTTGGCCACCATGGCGCTGCTGGTGTTGACCTGAGAAGTGCGTATGCAGTTCTGCTGATCTCTGACCCTTTGCTGAGTGACTGACTGGCGTAAGGTGATACCATGACAACCCCGACGCCGGCGATGCTTGCTGCCATTCAGAACTGCAGTCTTCTCGACGATGTGTTTGTGGAAGATCCGACCACAATGGAGTTGGAGTCTCATGTCGCTGCTCTTGCGGGAAAAGAGGCTGCTCTCCTCGTTCTCTCCGGGACTATGGGGAACCAGATCGCCCTGAGGACTCTCCTTACCCAACCCCCCTATAGTGTTCTATGCGATCACCGCGCCCATATCATCAAGTACGAGGCAGGCGGGTATGTGCACTAGCCCCGCTCCCGGTGATCTTTGCGTGTTTGCTTATATATCACTCTCAGTGTAGCGTCTCTATGCGGCGCCATGGTGAGGCCTGTCGTGCCGAGCAACGGGGCTTTCCTGACGCTTGAGGATGTTGTGGCCAATGCAGACTTGGACGACGACGTCCACACATGTCCTACCAAGGTGATCAGCCTGGAGAATACCATTAACGGCGTGATTACCCCCCTTGCCGAGGTCAGAAGAATCGCTCAGTTCGCCCGCCAAAACGATCTCAAGTTCCATTGCGATGGTGCAAGGTTGTGGGAGGCTGTCGCATCAGGTGCCGGCAGCCTCTCGGAATACTGCTCTCTATTCGACACAGTCAGCTTGTGTTTCTCCAAAGGCCTCGGTGCTCCGATTGGCAGTATAGTTGTGGGCAGTTCGCGAGATATCAAACATGCTCGTTGGATTCGCAAGTCCATTGGGGGTGGTCTACGTCAGTCTGGTGTCGTTGCAGCTCCTGCACGCGTCGCTGTCGATGAGACCTTTGGAAAGGGACCGAATGGCGAGGGGGGTCTCTTGAAGTCTTCTCACGAAACTGCCAAGAAGATTGAGAAGCTTTGGACTGAGCTGGGCGGGAAGCTCATCCATCCAGTCAATACCAATATGTGCTGGCTCGATCTTGGTTCAGCTGGCTGCAGTACAGAGGCCTTCGTCGCATTTGGTAAAGACGCCGGCTTGAAATTGATTGGAAACCGGCTCGTCATTCACTACCAGATTGCCCAAAACGAAAAAGAGGTCCTTCCGAGACTGGAGCAAGTTTTCCGCCGCGCACTGGAAGGTGGCAGCAATGAAGCTACTACGAACAAGGGTCCTTCAAACATGTATCGCGGTCGGTGAAAGCTCTGAACTTGAACTTGCGTCGATCCGATGAAATAGAAGCCCGAAAGTTCTTCCCGAGTCTAATGCTCAGTGAGCAACTGCAGCTCTACACTGGCCAGGAGAACGCTGTCAATGCTGTTTTTCCGAAGGCGAATATAAGACGTGATGGCGATCCCCTGATTGACATGTCACATTTGGCGGCTGACATGGTTAGCTTATTAGCACCGCAATGGCCAATAGAAAGAAATTTGTTCCCAGGCTTTTGGAGATGCAAATCATCAGATGTGACAGACATGAGCTTACATCACACCACACGTACACCTCGCTGTCGTTTTCACCAGGGATTATACCGCAAGGTAGATTCTCCATCGGTAAGGCCCAGAATGTCGGACCGGTACAGTCGTCCGGCGTGCTGAGAAGCCTTACATATGCTACTGGCGGTGTGAGATTCGGTAAGCATGTCTAGGACGTTGGTTAGTCTGGGCGCATCCGCCGGAGATCTTGTCTCGGGGTCTGGACGGCAACTTCCCCGTGCCCGCGATTCTACGAGACACAATCCGGTCTGCTCGGCACCCGGGAGTCGTGCCATTGCTACTCACTCTGTGCACCGTCTGCTGTCACATCCAGGAAGGGGGCGAATGCATGCAATATTGGACGAGGGCATTCGTGCGGGGGTGGGTCGCTCCGGAAGAATGTGGAGAAAGGCTTTCCGGGGGCGCCGAGCTTCTCCGCATAGCCGGTTCGGCGCTCCAATAGCAGCCGTTCATAGACCGGGCTAGATCCTGCTTGTAATGGAGCGGTGCAGGTCGGATACCCCGCCGAACAGCTGAAGCACAACTTTTCCAAGACCAACTACTGCTGCTGTGCTTCGCACTAAGGTTTCTTGGTCCTGGCTGACGTCACAACGAAATGTTGCAGTGCAATGACATACGAAAAGTATCACCCACTCGTCTTGTCCGGGAAAGGCTGTGCCAATCGGTCTAATGACGTTCTCATACCGGCTCTTCTGCGGCACCTTCCATGCCCAGAACGTACGAAGAGGACGGTGTCTGCAGGCAAGCCCAAAAGATTGATGCAATGCTCAATGGTCTTAGTTGTGGCGTCCAACGTGTCGAACCATGCTGTTGTCGAGCCAATTTATGACTGGAATCATCTCGTCTCGTCACATTGCTAGGCATCCTGGAAAACCTTGCCTCTGCCCCGAATCCCTGCCAACTCCCCCCGCTTCTCCGGGTCTGCCTTCTTGCACTTCGGAGCACTTTGGGCACTGGTATTGACGATCAAAAGCAGCAACGAACCCGTCCAAGCGCCCGTGGCCCCGCCCACGCCTTCATGTTCCGCGTCCCTTTCCCTTTTCATTCACTGGCAGGCAGGCACTTTGTGCCGATCGCGGTTCGCCCTGTGTATTCTATCTCGGACATACTTTATATACCCTTCCGTGGACCTCTTCATCCGAAGTCTGCGTAGTCCCGCTCACCCACCTCGCTGCGCTTCTCTGGCATCGTCACATTTGTTGTATAAGGTCCGGAAGCTTCGCAAGACTCGATGACGCTCCTTGCTCTATGCCTGGCAGTGCTTGCTGCTTTCGCACAAGTCTGCCAAGGTCTCTATCACAATGGATCTGACGTCGCTCCGTGCGATTCGCCAATCTATTGTCATGGGGAAATTCTGAAGCAAATCCAACTGGCGCGGCCATTCTCAGACTCCAAGACTTTTGTTGACATGTAAGTGCCGAGCGCTTCTCTGCACCCTGAGGCACCTTGCCAGTAATGGCTGGTCTGGCTTACCTTGCTCATCGGCTCTACGCTATCTCGAGCCGCCTGTGATCTCTGACA